CCCCAAAACCCCAAAACCCCAAAACCCCAAAACCCCAAGTCAGATTTTCTTTTTTGAAAACTATTAATTTAAATTAACGACAGAAATGGCTGATATTATGAAGTTAGAGCCTAAACGAGTAAGCCTTACTATGACAGAGAGCAACCAAAACAGAGCAAGATTAGAGGACCTGGCATACTCATTATTAGCAAATAGAGTAGTTTAGTTGGATATAAGAGTATTTTTAAGGGAAAATTGAGATCAAGAAATGCTAACCGTCGCATGATTTTTAGTCTATGTATTTTCATATAACTCATTGGGTTGCTTCCTTCATGACCCAAAGCTCAAGATATGCTCTTAAGTTTCTCTCACAATATAACCAAGAGCCTCTTTGACAAGTATGAGAATTATTTTGCATAAATAGTATCCTTACTCCATAAAAATGTGAAATCATCAAGATGATTTGCCTCCATTATTTTTGGACTAGAGCCTGCACTAACAAGAAATATCGCCAGTAAAGTGCACTTTAGGTCTGAGCCAGACATCTAACTTATATCTAGGAGCATGTAGAAAGAATTTGCAAGAAGGTATGGCGCAAGGTTGAAGAAGTTAAAGAATTCCTAAATCTTCTTGAAGTCAAGATTGAGTGTGAGTTCAAACGGGCGGAATCTCTGAACAGGGTATCAAAGTTTAACCTGAACTATCTGAAGAAAACGTAAGCTCTTGTTCCAATTTATAGCCCTTTCGAACCCATCTGTAAATCCATTATTAAGAAGGCAGAAAATGAGGCCTATCAGACTTATGAACTTGTCGAAAGCTTGAAAAATGTCATATATGAGCCACTTAAGGATAAAGTCAAGGGATTCTCTGACAAAATTGAGTCTCTTGATGATTGTTTCGAAGATCATTTTAAGAAATTAAAGCATGCCAAAGAGAAGCTTATCAGCATTGATAGTAACTACAGCCATTATAGTCAACAACTGTCTGATATTTTGAAGAAGATGGGATATGACTCTATCGATCGCAAAAGTGATTTCTTTGATGACAAATTGTTCTATTCATTAAACTCAAAAATGAAGACTGTTGATATCAGAGCAAAAGAAGTTGAGAACCAAACTAATGAGCTCAATAAACTCGTGTCTTCTTATAAGACAGATATGGAATCTAAAATCCATGACCTTGAAGAAATGGAAGATGAACGGATCCAAGGGATTATTGATGCACTTAATCAGATGAATATCTTCCAGACCAATTGTGATATGAACAACAAGTATGATTGTAATCATTTTTATCAAACTGTTGAGAATATTAAGACTGATCAGACTGTTATGGAATATAAAGCTCTATTCGATCCAGCCCCAATGCTAAACATCCAAACCTTCAAATTCAAGCTCTATGATGAACTGATTACCAAATCTGATATTGAGATGGACTCTATTGCTGAACCTGAGGAAGCCCAGCACAAAGGAAAGATCATGAAGTTTGTTTCTAATATTTCCTCTGATGAGCTTGATTTCTCCGAGTTTGAAAAATTAATGTCTGTAAAGCTGAATCGGTACTTATTTGTCTCTATAATGAACAAGTACATTCCAAAGTCATTACCATGCAAGAAGTCTTACAATAATTTGAGCACTTTGTTCAACTATTGCTTAAAAGGATGTAACAGGAATGATGATGCTGATTACCTCAAATGAATCCTCAGCTCATCCAGCAAGATCTACTTCGATGAAGAGGAAGAAGAAGACTCTGTTATTAGAACTTACGTCACTGAAGGCATCAGGAGAAATAAGATCTGGGATAACTGAGCCATTTGGGGCAAAGCCATCTTTAAAGACTTTAGAGATATTTTAGTAAAATTTAAGATCCCAAAGGAACAAGAAAGAGAAGTTGATAAGGATGAGGTCCTCAGAAATATCTTCTTCAATAGACTAAGATACTACGTTGAGAAGTTGGTGTACTTCGACATGGATAAAAAGCTGTTACTGAAGATCATTGAAAAGTACTTTTACACTAATAACTATTAGGTTCCATATAAGCTATAAATTTACAAGGGAGCAGAACCAGTTCCTCAAGGCCACAGTAGAAGCAAAGGAAGTTGAAATGGCTCCTTGCGACGAATTATTTGATGAGGATGCTAAGCGGCAACTTGCAAGTGGGTCTCTTACTAAAAAAATGGGAAGCTGGATGAACGATATAGGAAAATTTAGTGTCTCAGCCATGAGCAAAATGAAGACTTATATCAAAAAGAAAGAAATCGATGAAGACCCTATAATTGATTGCTATGATGACTGTGCCATCGAAGAAGAGGACAATTCTAATGCAGATACAAATGGCAGCTCAAAAGGGAGCCCTAAATACAATGGATCTAAGAGACTGACAGCCTTAGTCAAAGTAGAGAGTGCAATTGAAGATTTTTCAAAAGATAAGAAAGATAGCATTATAAGCGAACTTGAAATTATTCAAAAGCAATCTACTAATTCTACTTTTAATAAAACAAAGGATCCATCAAAGCGTTCTCAGACGAAAGAAAATAGTGTCTCAAAAAATGTCCAAGAATATCTTAATCCATCTTCTAAAGAAGAAGAGAAGTATGTAAAGCCATCTAGCCCTCAATCAAGTCCTTCTAGCCACTCAAAGTCTCATAACCCCCCAGGAAGCATGCCATCCGACATTCCCAGTTCCATAAATTCCCAAATTTCAAACACAAATACTCTCAGAATGACCCAAATCCATTCTTATCCAAATTCAGAAGGAGAAAAATCGAACGAAACCACCGAAGCTATCTAATTCCTCAAAAAAACCATCCTCCTTTACTCTAAATCCTCCTTCTCACTCAAATCTCAAAAATTTTGAAAATTTTCAACAAATTCTCCAAAAATGGGGTTTTGGGGTTTTGGGGTTTTGGGGTTTTGGGG